TGCTCGACCCGATTAAAAAGGGACATAAAGAAACCAACCGATCCGATTATATTATAAATTTGGGTCCGGTCCGGGAAGCAAAAGAATGATTTTGTGAAACGGAAAAGTGAAAAAAAAGAGGCCAACCAGCCGTACGGAGTGGGTGGTCTCTCGGGAACCAAAGACAGCGGAAGACCGGCTAGGTATGGGCTAAAGTGGTGGGCCCGCGGTTGCAGGCCGCCTCCCGTCCGCTTGCCACCGGCCCACTGTCATCTCACCGGTGGTTCAGAGTTCAGACCATGGGAAAAGCAATAGCCCCATGACCGGCGCCGTACACGACTACCGAGTTCAATACCGACACGTGGCCCTCTTCATGTGACACTGACGTGGCCGGCCGTATCTAGTTGCTCCCTAGTAGAGCCCAACAAGGAATGGTAATGAGGGACGTCGTCACGTCGGAATGGGTACTTCGATATTCATATTCGTTCAGTGATAGGTCGAGTCCAGATCGAAAAATTTATAGGACACGAGTCGGTGTAAGTCGACTTATATGTGTACGTAATTTAAAGGGAAAATGTTAGAAATATTAATTTTTTTCATTAAAAAAAATCAAGAAACGAAATATATATGTGATAAATGTAGTTGGATTACTCGAGAAATTGAAGTTCTCGTATATTTTCAAGTTTATTGTAGTTGGATTAATTAACTTCGCGATAGTTTGTAATATTGCTTGTTATATTTGCAATGCATTATACTAGATTACATGTAGGAGATGTGACCGTCCGACCTGACAAGAACTGGACCAAATCACAAGAATCATGTTCAATAGTAAAAGAGATTGGACGATCAAAGATTGGATCACCATTGCATTCGACCTATTCAATTGTACATTAGTTATATTTTTCTTCACTAATAGAATTTATGGGGAAAACACCATACCAATTAAAAAACCCATACCAATTATATTGACTACTACTGAAAGGATAATTACAACTTACAATGGGGTGGAAGATTTCCATCCCAAATCTATCAGTTAATTACATGTAACATTCCAACCAATGAACAAAATATAGCTTCTAATTGCTCAATGATTACCATCCATTAAAGTGCCCCTAATTAATAAGCTTAGTGCGATAAGATGTTTGTTCTCATACAATACTAAAAATGGAAAACTGGTGCATGCATGTAGTCACTTTTAGGATAAAGTAGTGCTTTAAGCTTTAACTTATGAAATGTCAAACTGATTTGTCTTCATCTTAAGACAGAACCCACAAATGAAGAAGAAGAAGAAGATTAGCAGACAAGCAAAGACTAGGTAGTAGGAGGAGGCATGTGTAGTGTAGTGTAGTGTAGTGTAGGGGCCAACAAAACCTAACCTTTCCCCCTATTTCACTCTTCCTTCAAATAGTACAATAACTAGAGTGAGAGAGGGAGAGAATCTAGAAGTGAGATATTCAATTCATAATATCTTTGTTGTTCTCTCTATTTCATTGGCTATTAATTCATAGCAAGAAAGAATGAGTTAAGGGTAGTCATTCGAGTGGTCAACGGGAAAGATTCGTCACACGCGATAAAAGAGGACTACCCCATATGAGGTACATGTATGATGTATTGCAGACTTTTATTCAGCATGTTACGTTCCATTTTGCTCCTCGTAGAAAAATAGGGCTGCCCATATCATAATAAAACAAACCATTACATCGTGTAAATTGGTTATTAGCCAATCAATGTTTTCTCCTTTTGCATTGTGATCGACCTCATAAAGGTTTTATATATTTCGTATCTATACTAAATACAAACACAAACAAACCCTAATCGAATTGGCATTGACTATTGCCTATTGACAACGATCCATACTACAAGTGGATATAACAAGCTACAACAATACTACCAAGGTATAGTACTTGTGTAACTTTCTATCTCGATACATAGCTCCATATGATGTTACCGTGTTGTCATTAGACTTCAGACCGCTATATACAGTTAATTTGATCTCTAGTAAGATTAGGTAAACCATGTCATGTATCGGTCAATTTCTTCCCTATAATATCTAACATTACTTACATTACAAATATTACAAATGATCGTCATGAATAACTCGAATTCGTGAGACATACATACCTATCTCTTGCAACCGGACAGTTTCGAACACCGAATAACCATCGCACAATTTTAACAAATGATATTTATCCTCGTGAGGGCTGGCTAGGGACAAGCCTATTAAGCTAGGGTTTCCATTTTAGACATCGTTTTCCATATGCCTCAAAGTACGGAAACCTCCACTCGACGACGACGGCTACTATACAAAAATTTGAATGGTTTTGCTTTCGACCAATTAGGGTTTCCATGCAGATGAAACAATGGATTGCATGTATACAAAAAAAAACCCAATAATAGCCTTTAATTAATCTCACAGAAACACAGCTATTCGATCGTCCATCTTTTCACCTAAAGAAAAACACAGAACATGGCTACTGGCTAGAAGAAGTAGCCCGGCCACCTTGTCCAAAGACCTTTTGTTTTCAGGTGAAAACGAAATGTGCCTCACGAGTTCAATATTTGCATGGCTGTCTAGATCGGTCTGTTTCTCAGCTTGTGGATGTGTGTTGTCGACCAGTTATTTTCAGCCGCAGCCTTATCATTTGTCTCCAAAATATGATAGTTGGCATTTAAACAACTAGCTAGGGGATGGTTTCGGGTAGGGGTGGCTATACGGTCCGGTCCGGTTAAATTGGCCCAAATTGATCCGGTCCAGTCCGGTTTTTTTGAAAATATAAGGACCAAAGATTGGATTGGATACAGTCCGGTCTTGATCCGGTCCGGTCTTGACCCGGTCCGGTCCCAATTCGGTCTTGATTTTATATTGAGATTGTGGGAATTTGAGTGGCCTAAGGCCTAAAAGGGTGAGGAGTTGGTTAAGTTTTGTACTAAGTGCAAAGGTTTGTGACCGTTTATGCAAATTACCCTTAAGTTTTGGATGTTGAGCTCTCTTATCCGGTCTTTATCCGGTTTTTTACCTCAAATTTAAGCCCAAAGATTGGATTGGATTGTTTACTATCCGGTCCCGGTCCGGTCTCGGTCTGGGTTATACGGTCCGGTTTCCGGTTTTTCATCCGGTCCCGGTCCAAATAGCCAGCCCTAGTTTCGGGGTGGCGGGTGGATAGCTCGAAGTTCGTATAGATTCGTCGTTCAGGTTAGGTTAGTATCATAGGACATACGAAGTCGGATAATTAGATCTCGACTCGTTACAACGGACAATTCAAATAGTTCGGTATTTGTACCGGGCAAGATACCCAGTATCGAGCTTATCGTAAATAATGCATATATTTCGTGCAACTAACAGAAGAGAATAATAACATTTAAAATCTTCAATCGAGTTGAAACCAAGGGTTGAAAAACCTCACTGTACCGGCGGTTTGATAAGAAAAACATCATACCGGCATACGGTATTTAGCGGTATGAAATGATTAAACCACGGTTGCAGCCAAAAATATCGTACTGCTGATTTTTTCTACGGTGGTTCAATCGCTGGTTGTAACAGGGTCGAACTCGCCTTTCAAATCAAGATTACATATCATAATCATACGAATGAAATTTCAATTTGACATGATGATTTGAAAGGTGGGGAAATATATAAGCTAGTAGTAGTACTAGTTTAGTTGGGTGAGTAGTCATTATATCCTTTTTTCGTGTTAAATAGAGGTCACAGTAAGTGGCAATAAGCCAACTTTACCTAACACAAATTTCTTATTACAACTACCCCAAGTTAGTGTAAATTTTTGGTGGCAGGCAGCTGCATCTCAACACCAGCAGTACCCTTTAACCCTACAATCTACAGTATCCTCCATTGAATCAAAGGCTGCCACCAGCCACTGGAAAAAAACCACAGTGAAAAACTCTGGGTGCTCGAGAAAAGACCAGAGGACCTCACAATCATGGCCCTAACAAGTCAAATGATGATGAACTCTGTTTTTCTCTTGGTGGGTTTTTGGCTATAAATGAAGGGTGCCTTTGATTTCTTCAAATTTCTGCAAAGTGGTATTATGTAATGTTACCATCAAGGATCTCATTAGAAATCATAAGCTTTGTCTGCATATGATATGATGATGTGGTTTGTGTTGTGTGGTTTTTTTTTTAACAGTTCAAATTGGACTGTCAAAATAATCAATGCCCATGTGTTTGTTTTGAGTAAAAAAAAAAAAAAGGACAGAGAGCCAAGTTGCAGAGGAGTTGAATGGTCTGAGAGGCTCTGCCTGGAGTGGGAAATCCCAATTCTTGTCCTCTATTCTTCTGTATTGGCTGAGAAGCTACTTCAAAAGAGAGAGAGGGAGAGAGAGAGACCCAATTTGCAGTCTCTCTGTGCCCTACTTTGATACCAAAAAGATTTCAGCTCCATTCAGGCCAACCATTTTGATTTTAAGCCCCTGCTGTGTTGTTATCTGCTATAGAGGATGAGCATTCTTTCCTTTGTGTTTAAGGTGGTATCAAGATATTCGCCTCGGATTGTTTTACCACACGTTACGTTTACAGAAAACAGACAATAACCCGTTGCATGTTATGTTCTCGTTAACAAAGAACAAAAAGCCTAATCTCGTGGTTAAACAACGAGGTGAGCAATCATCGCGATGAATTTGTTAAGCGAAGAGGGGCGGATAGAGGGTATCAATTGGCAGGGGCGACAAAAGGCCCTCAGTGGTGTAGAGATTTTGTTGGCAGCCCACACAATCAACAGAGATTTGTCAAAGCTGAAGAGGGAAAAGAAGGAACCTTGTGAGAAGAAGAAAAAAAAAATGTTCCAGGGGACCGTTTGTTATTCGGCTTTTTCCACGAGCCTGAAACTATTCCTCTTACAGGCTTTTAAGCCTGGTTGGCCTGCCTGCCAGCCAAACGGAACCCAAACAAAATTTGTGCAAATCTTCTCTTTCTTCTCTTCACCACTTGCAATTTGCAAGTTGCCATACCACCAGAGCCTCACCTTTTGCTCATTTTATCTCTCTCTCTCTCTCTCTCTCTCTCTCTCTCTGCAGGTGTCAGAGCAACTTGCATGGTGCCCTGAAGGCTGAAGAACACCCATTACACCTTCACAACATTAGTTCAAAAAGGAAGGGGGGAAAAAGGACTACTGAAATTTGACTTCTGAGTTGTAATTCCATTCAAGAAAGTGGAGAACAGACAACCAGAAGGAAGGAAGTCTTACTTCACTCACCTGATGGGATCTGGAAGCAACAGTAGTATAGTATACTCGGTGGCGAGGGAGTTCTATCGATACAGCGAACTTTGTTTAATACGATCACCAGGACTCCAGGAGTATCGTATGCTCCAAATTCTGCACCATTTAGAATTAAACGACGTAAAGGAGGAAGAGGAGAAATCCGAAGTTCACTAGGGTTAGGATAAGGAATCCACGCCATGAATTTGGTCCAGTTAACAACGAGGAGACACATGAACTCAAGCCTTCCATTCATAGACTTGACAAAAGAGTAAACATATTCCTTCAAAGAGCAAACGACGCAAAAGAAGTTTAGTAAAATGCACAGCCCTTTTTCCACTCTCCCCCTTTTTATATAAGTTCATATATAGCACATAGCAAATAAAAAACAGCAGCTGTAGTTCGTCAGCCCATCGCGTACTTCTGAGTCCAGCTCTTAGCGGTTGTCTCGTACTTGGCCCTATCGGTCTTGTACATGTGAGCAATCTCAGGCACCAAAGGGTCGTCGGGGTTGGGGTCTGTCAACAGTGAACATATAGAGAGCAATACCTGAAAAGAGTACCAGGGGGGAAAGAAACATGAGCAAGTCTTAACAATGGCAAAGTTGTTGTTAGAGGAAACGAGCTGCGGTTAGGTGCAGTCGATCGACCTTTGATATGGTCAAGGCTGGGCTCCACTGCTCCTTAAGAATATCCAGGCAGATGCTGCCATTGCTGTTGATATTGGGGTGGAAGACCTTAGTCCTGAAAGAAACCTGCAGCAGAACGAAGAAGGAAGGAAAAAATGTGACAACCGAATCGACAAGGTTTTGAAAAAGGTTGGGAAATATCTGTATATGATAATATATCATGCAACTGGCTAAGAGGCTTTGCAAAGAGAAGAATGATAACAAAATCACCCTGTGTTCGGACAAAAAGCATAAATTAAGATTGAACCATCTACCATGTCAAGGTTACATCGAAAAAAGAAGGGTATGGATGGAGCATCTTGGCCCCGATGTTGTTTTGCAGAGACTTAATTAGAAGAGAAGTTTGCCACCATATGGTGCAATGCAATGGAGTAAACAGAGGAAACTCAGTTCACACTTCACAGTAATCAGATAACTAGACCCCCACCCTTCACAGGCACCAGGAGCAAAGCTATTACACTAAGAGAATCAGTGAATTCTACATCTGATCTTACGAAAAACCCACCATATACGATCACTCATTTCACCAATAAGATCAAACCAACAAAGTACATGTAAACCAAATTATAAAAGCAGCAAAAACGTAGGTAATTCAGAACAAGGAGTACTTCTTTCCAAGAGACCAAATGAAACATAGATTTGTACAAAATTCTAGCACTTGATAGATTAAAATACCTTAGGTGGCTTGAATGGGTAGTCTGGTGGGAAGTTAATACTGACTAGAAACACTCCACCAGTGTATGGGCTCTCAGGAGGGCCCATAATTGTTGCTTGCCACTGGAACATGTCTTGGGCAACTGGACCTAAAGTAGCCCAAACCAGAAAAAAGAAATCAGTTCACTATTGGTGAAGATTGAAGATACAGATGAAAATATCAGACTTTCTTCTTCCAAATAGAGGTACTTCATGTATGAACAATTCATGCAATAAATAAGCGAGCAGATGGAAATGAAAAAGCTCTGAATTCCTTCAGATCCTATAACATTTCTTCCATTACGAGGTCTCCTGAACAATCTAAGTACACATGGCGCAAGATGATTCCATATATCAAGGACATTACAAACCAAAAGCGAGCAATGGATTCAAATTGCCTAAACTTTGCCATTTACTATAGCCAGCCAGGTGATACATCTTTCATTATTACTTATAAAAGTCCGATAATATATCACACACAAGACTCACTCAAAGTAATTCCTCTATAAGAATCAAGATATAAGCCTGTTGGTGGAAGAAGGTAGGGAAGAACCTAAGAACTCAAATGAGGGTAGACAACTCTCTAGGCAGATGAACACGTTATCAGAGTACAGAAGTGGTCAGTTGTCCAGTGAGGTAAAGCCTAGACGTTTTGACAATGAACTTCAAATCATCCGGCTCGAAAACTCCCTACTCCCACTGCAAAGATGTAGCATGAAAGCAAGGCTCCACCCAGCCAGTTACAATTGCTTTTTTGGTATCCCTACCTAATTTAAAGGACACGTCCTTGAGTTCCTACCAACCTCTGAAAGTAATCCATATGCTGCTAGCATCAACTTGCTTAAATAAGAATCAATTACTTCCCTCTACTATTCACTTCCTACTCATTGATCTCAGCCAGTCTCCTTTCTCGAACCATAACAATTTCGAACATTAAGGGAGACAAGGAAACACCACCTAAGCAAACAAACTAGAGAGACCAGCTTATCTGAAGCGCGAATCATACGGGGGGTTAAAGCTAGGACTATCACTACATTGGTGACCTAGCGCTTTTACTTTGCCTCCCAGGATCCACAGTAGCAGCTAGGTTTAGAGCCAGAGCAGTGTGATCAATGACTATCCAGTTCAACAGTACTCTTAGTCCGAAATGATATTTGGATTCTACTCAGAACTGAACCACACTAGGAAACAAAAACATACGAATTGCCAGTAACAAAGCCGCTCAAAATTCAAGCACCATAATCCATAGAGAAACAAGCAATCAAATCCATCAACTCCAATGCAGAATTCCAAAACCTAGCTGTCGTACGCACACATATAGTAAACGGAATCCCCCCAATACGTTGGCTGAGACTCATCAGCAGGGCTACAACGACAAAGCGCAATTCTAGAAGAATATATCACGATGCTATGATCAAACAAAAATAGAAATAGGAAAAAGGGAACGATCATGAACCTGCGCTGCAAGAGGAAGGCGGGTCCTTCTGGAGATCCTTGAGCTCCTTCAAGATCCTCTTGGAAGCCATTGTCGAAAGCTAAAGCAGAACTCGAAACGCACAGAAAGAGAGCACGAGTCCCACTCTTCCTATCTCCCCCACCTTAGCAGCAAACCCTACTAACGAAGTCGGTCACAATCAATTTCAATCCAAACACGAAACTCGAAAATCAACAGTACTGCAGGAGCTAGAAACAGTAGCGTGCCCCGAAAGCAAGACGAACAGAGCGAAAGGAGAGGAACCGAGAAGATTACCGATCGCCAGTGAACTTATAGATTCTGAAGAAGCCCAAAACCTAGAGACGCACACACTTGATATATATAACACTCCACACGGCAACAAACGACGGCCCAAATTACACAATCACTTCCTGTATCGATCACTACAATCATATTACTCCTTCAAATTATTAAATTTCACATTTCAGTCCTTGAGTTTTTTTTATCTAGTCTCTTTTAGTACTAGTAGAGATGCGACTGCAATTTTGACTTGATGTAGAGCAGAGGTGCATTACTTTAGCTTCGGGTCATCAAGGGCTTGATGTTACATATGCACTTCAGGCACCTTTTTTCGTTCTATCGATATGTGAATTAACGATATTTATACGAACTACGACTTACTATAGATCGTTGTTCATCGAGGAAAAGAAGAGATTTACTAGCTAACATTCACGAATTGACACAATATATTAAGCCTGTCCTTCTCTCAAGTAAAATTTCCATAGGTAGATTCTGATAAGAGACAATGAAAACACAAGGAGGTGTGTTCGATTTCAGAGAGAACAGGGCACAGAAGTCTCTGTCTACACAGACATGACCAGTTTCTTCTTTCAAGGTCCCCGTTCATAAGATAAGACAGCAATATCATACTTTTACTTTCATACACAACAATTTTTTCTCTCATGACACAATGGCACAACAGGAAATAAATCTTTGCCTTTCCCAGACAAGGCAGATCGTGCTAGCCCATCGCGTACTTCTGAGTCCAGCTCCTGGCAGTTGTCTCATACTTGCTCCTATCGGTCTTGTACATGTGGGCAATCTCTGGCACCAATGGGTCGTCGGGGTTGGGATCGCACAGTAGGGAACAGATCGAAAGCAACACCTGCACGAGTCGAATACATGATTCTTTAGTACCGATAGAACACAAATATGATATACTACGGCTCCTTTGGATTTAACGATGGACTTGAGCACTACTGCCAGTGCCAGGGGGAGTAATGGAAACCAATTCTCACATAAGCCAAAGTAAAGAGCAGAGAACATGTGCACAAGAAAAGCTTGAATCATTTTAGTATTGGTAACAGTTGAGACAATGACCTTGGATATGGTGAGGGCAGGGCTCCATTGCTCCTTCAAAATATCAAGGCAAATGCTACCGTTGCTGTTGATATTGGGGTGGAAGACCTTAGTTCGGAAAGCAACCTGCACAAGTTCATCCATTACAGCAGGATGATAATTAGCAGATTCCCCCCGAACAATAGAAAACACGTAGAGTGACTACTAAAATATCAGTATCATGAAATCAGACAGCATCATACAGAGGAACAAAACGGGTCATACTGCTTGAAATTTCTGCTGTAAAGCGATAAAAAAGGACATGAATAAGATTAACTTAGCAATGTGTCGATATACAAACAGGTTCAGTCAAGCACCTTTGGCGGTTTGAATGGATAGTCTGGTGGGAAATGAATACTGACTAGAAACACACCACCGGAATAGGGACTATCTGAAGGACCCATGATTGTTGCTTGCCAATGGAACATGTCTTCAGCAACAGGACCTGCACGCCATGATTACCCAGCCAGAGATAAGACAAAATGTTTCAAATCACTTCACAAAGTTCTTTCTTATATGTAAGCAACTGTCAAATTACTGAGATGCGAACTTCCTGGCTCGAAGCAGTGGGAGGTCAAGGAAACTACATCAGACAGCATTTTACTGCCTTCAAGTGGAAAATAAGCAGAGACCAAGAAATTGATTTAACCACATAAATGATATCCCTGTAGCAGATGCTACAGCGAGGACTTAAAAGCCACACAATCCCTCATTATGTCACAGATAGATCACTATGAAGACGTATATTATCTTGCTTTCCATCAAATTGCAGTATCTCATTTCTCGATCATCAAAATTCAGAACAAAATGAAAACTTTCTACCAAAAAAAAAAAAGAGCAAAATGAAAACCCACCACACCTTCCATCTCCAACTGCAATCAATCCCTCCCACTCAGCTAAGTATCTCATTTCTCAATCATCAAAATTCAGAGCAAAATGAAAACCCACTACACCTTTCTATCTCCACCAACAATCAATCCCTCCCACTCAGCTGAAAGATCGTTCTAAGAATCCTCAATCCCTACTTACCACAATACAAATCTCTCAAAACCCCTACATATCATTATCACCCACACAAATCGACAATACAAGCAAATAGATCTGTGAAAGGCGCTGGAAGAATCGAACTCAGACCTGCGCTGCAAGAGGTAGGAGGATCCTTCTGCAGATCCTTGAGCTCCTTCAAGATCCGCTTCGACGCCATCGCCCCCGAACCAAATGAAAAAAACGAAACCCTAGACCGTTCTGAGCTTCCCTTCTACCAAATTCAAAAAATCAGCGCAAAATTGATTACAAACAACAGCAATCGAAGAGAACCTAAGCATAGCAGACGAAGGAAGGAAAGAGAGAGAGAGAGAGAGAGGCGCACCTGAGCTGAGAGCGATCCTCGGCCGGTTACGGTTTCGTGTGTTCTGGCAGCGCGAAACGGGGGAAGGAGAAACCAAGAAGAAAATCGTTTCTGATTATTTGTTGTTGTTGGTCAGCGAAATTGTGAAAGAGAAGAGAGAGAGATGGGATTTTATTTTATACGGTCAGGACCAGGTCTCTTCTACTGTGTTCCCTAGCTCCTGATTGGTTCCCTTTTTTCTTCTTCTTAGATAGGCTAAATTGCAAGTTTGGTCACTTGAATTACTTGTAAAATTCACATTAGCCACTAGAATTACTTTATTCCATCCATAGTCACTTAAATTAGGTTAACAGTTCAAGTTTGGTCACTGGCCGTTAGTCTCCGTTAACTTTTGCTGATGTGGCAGTCAACTCTTATAGTTGACCGTTAAATGAGTGACATGGCAATTTAAAAAATAATAATATAATAAAATTTAATTTTTTAATAATTTCTACCTCATTATGACTATAAATTAAAAAATAATTAAAACAAAAAAATGTTACAAACAACCATGGAATTTAGAGTCTTTCTGTTCATTTTTCGTTTGCTGTGTTTCTGAAGGAAGCAACTCTGCTTCCTAATATGGGATGGAAGAAATGGCATTGCATTGACGACTCAGACAACCAAAGTCTTCCCGATTTTGAGAGCCATGAATCTGGGCAATAGCCAATAGCTGTACTAATCAACCTGTTACCTGCGTGGAATAGTATATTCATTGGTGTTTGGCTCTCGAAAGATGACTGAGGTTCCAGAGCAGCGCCGTGTCGGCTCTCCAGGAGGCCGCCGAGGCATACTTGGTCGGCTTAAACAGAGCGTAGTTGTGGTTGTTCAATGTCGGGTTGTTTAGGTCTATTTCCTAGCGTATTTCTGCTTGTGATTTTCGGTTCTGATTTCCTGGAATTCAGAATTCTCAGTGATTAGATTTATGGGTTTCTGAAGGAATTGAAGGTTTTCGGTATTTCTGCTCTCTTTCTTCTGGTACTTCTTTGCCTTCTTGCTCGTTTCGCCACTTTTTTCCTGCCGTCGGCGAGCTAGCCTTTGTAGACGATGTCGTAGCTACCAGCGCCGATCTTGTTCTCCGCTGCGAACCCGTCGGTGGCGGCTGGGAGCCACTTTTTTCCTGTCGTCGGCTCGGCGTACGTGTTTGGATGAGGTCCGGCTCTTCTGGCGCCTCATTGCTTCCGAGCTCTGCCGCCGGATGGTTGACGATCTGGAGGTGATGGTGGTGATTCCGCTGCCGCTGTTGTTTGAATTGTTCGATCCGTTGCCGTTGTTTGTGACTTTTTATTTTATTTTTTGTTTATTGTAATAATGAGGTGGAAATTATTAAAAATTAAATTTTATTATATTATTATTTTTAAAATTGCCACGTCACTTATTTAACGGTCAACTATAAGAGCATCTCCATCAATGCAATTGCAAATTCAATTGCATATGATGTTTTTATGATTTTTTTAATTTTATGAAATCCAACTCATTTTTATTTCATTGCACCTACATCAATGCAATTCATTTGCAATTGCATATAAAAATATAATCCATTGAAAATATATTTCAATTTATTTAAATGACATAAAAAACCAGATCTGACCCACCATTCCTCCACGTTGGCATTGCAAATGGACTTTCATAATATGAAAGCTTGCATCAGTTACACCACTTCCCACATCAATGAAATTAAGTTTGACATTACAAACCTCCATCCACGTCATAATGAAATTGGGAAAATAGAGCCGATGGAGATGCTCTAAGAGTTGACTGCCACATCAGCAAAAGTTAACGGAGACTAACGGCCAGTGACCAAACTTGAACTGTTAACCTAATTTAAGTGACTACAGATGGAATAAAGTAATTCTAGTGGCTAATGTGAATTTTACAAGTAATTCAAGTGACCAAACTTGCAATTTAGCCTTCTTAGATATTATCACTCTTCTCCTGCTGCTTTATTTTTCCTTTTCCTTCTGTTTTGATTATAGTAATTGATTAGTGGTTAGGTATTGATATTTTGATGATCACATGAGATTCTTTCTCATCATTAACATGAATATATTTTTGTTGACAACTTGATGAATTGTTTGTTCTATAAATATGTTCTCACGAATGAATTGTTTACATTATAATTAAGATGGTTCCGATTTTCACCATAAGATCAATACAATTTCAAAATAAATAAAATTTTCGTAAATGAATTGCGAGCACTATAACCAGGTTAGATCAGGTTCTCACAGCAAGACAAAGACAGTTTTAAGGTAAAGGATTAAAACAGAGCCTAAATTTCCAAAAGTAGACATTTCTATTCACTTCTTGTGAAAAGAGTATTAGGATTCAATTTCAAAATAGTGCTTTTCAACAAAAGATCCAAACTTTGAGAACCATCAGTTCTAAAACATAATGAGCAAATGACAAATTTGACAGCAACATTGATCAAAATTCACATGGAAGTGTCAAACAAGGCATTCATTCATGATTCATCCATTCATTCAACACTCAACTAAATCAATCAGAATCATCAAGGGCTTAAGAAAACAAAACCGAAAAGACAATGAACAATGGACTACTACAACAGACTTCATACATCAATCATGTTCATGATCCCGGTGGTGAAGTTGCAGCAACAGCCGGTACTGGTGTAGAAGCCATCTGTGGAGTTGAAGTACCCGTCGATCCCCGGTTCTCGGTATCCCTGCCTCGAACGCCCTCCACCAGCTTCACAACCTCGCCCATCTTCGGCCTCTGATCAGGAACCCTCACCACGCAGGACATCGCGATCTGCAGCATCTCGACCATCTCTTCCTCGATGTTCGGATACCTCAGCAGCTCCACATCGAACACCTCGGCGGTCCACTCCTCTCGCACCACCGAGTGAACCCACCTCACCAAATGCATGATCTCGTCCCCACCCGTGGTGTGAATCGGGGACTTCCCCGTCAGAAGCTCGAGCAGGACCACCCCGAAGCTGTAGACATCAGAAGGTTGAGTTGCTTTCCTCGTGTCTGTCACCTCCGGTGCACGGTAGCCAGCTGCTCGTGAGATCGGTGCAGACAGTGAGCTCATCACCGCTGATAAGCCAACGTCGGAGATGCATCCGTAGCCCGTGGTGGGGTTCAGGAATATGTTGGAGGACTTGATGTTGCCATGGACGAATCTCCCTCCGTTTGCTTGGTGAACACGCGAGATTCCTCGTGCTGCACCTATGGCGATCTGCATTCTTGTTTCCCAGTCTAGTGGCACCCTCTCGTGTCCTCTTTTGGCTGCAAGGTAAACAGCAGATGTCAGCTGTTGGATCATGGTTATCTACTACAAAAATGGAACATTTGAATACTACTAGTCACTTTTGATTCACCAACATAGTCTGATTCAATACAAGGTTTGATTCACAAACAGTGGAGTGATGAATTTGGAGGTGATTAATGTACAAAAAAAATCATCGGCTTGATGGATTTATAAATCATGGCTAAAGATCCATCAATCCACTTACACTTATAATCACGATTTCATGATCCACATACCTTAATTTACAAAAATTTATCAGCTAGATTTCAGCCCTAAATGCATTTTATTTCATGATCAATCAATAACGAAATCTACCAGCCAAACAAAAGCTCCCAAGAAAAAGCATAATTTAGCAAGCCAAAGCATCAAATAGTAAACTAATCAAGGCAGGTAAAACAATGAAATAAAGACTGCTGAGGTAAACCACAGGGAGTAGAGCAAAGCTTTACCATGAAGCATAGCTGAGACACTTCCGCGGCAGTAATAATCACACACCATGAGCTTCTCATCCTTGGAGAAGTAATAAGCCTTGAGCTCTACCACATTCTCGTGCCTAATCCCACCGACGATATCCATCTGCTGCTCGAAATCTCTTTTCCCAGCACTCACTTCCTTCAACCTCTTCACCACCACTGTTGTAGCATCCTCCAATATTGCCTTATAAGCCATCCCAAACGTGCCCTTCCCTAGAACCTCAGCTGAAGCTCTCAACAGGTCTTCCAAATCGAATGCATAGTTACATCCATCGAAGAATGCCAACTTATTGCTCGCATCCTGGCTCCTCGACACCATCTTCTCAGGGGACATTCCACCCTTCTGCAACTTCGTAGAAATCGAATACTCATATTTACCACTTCCATTCTTCCTCGAGCAACAGAAAATGAGCATTAGAGCAAAAGCCACCAATACTAACACACCAACAGCAACTACAATCCCTAGCAATGCTGCTTCGCTGAGTCGCTTCCCCGGTTTAGAAGCAGGAAGAACCAAATCTGGTGGTGTTGTAGAAAATGGAGAGGAATGTGGAGTGAAACCACCTCCTCCAGTCGAAACGTTGCTGTTACCAGCAAACACTGAGATTGGGAACCTTCTGAGCGAGTTAGGGATTGCACCAGACAGATAATTGTAGGACAAGTTAACCTGCTGCAGAGCTGGTGAACCAAGGTCAGGGATTTCACCGGAGAGCGAATTGTTCTCGAGATTCAAAGTAGCGAGTCGAGTCAATCGCGACAGCGAGCTAGGGATACTGCCATTAAACCTATTGTTGGAGAAATTCACAATGGTGAGGTTGCTCCACAAAGTGAAATCAGCTGGCAACGACCCAGATAAGCTGTTGTATTGCAAGTAGAGAAAAGACAAGTTCTTTAGAGTGTAGAGATCAGAAGGGAACTCCCCAGTGATCCCATTGGATCTAAGGCTCAAAACCTGCAACGCCGAGAGACGGCTGAGAGTGTTCGGAGGAATGGGGCCTTGGAAACCGACGCCGGGAAGTCTCACGGAGATCACTCGAGAGCCATCTTCGTTGCAGGCGATTCCTGTCCAGTCAGTGCAGAGAGAAGAGCTCTTGTTCCAGTTCAATGACCTTGAGTGGTGGAATTTGGCGACGAAGTCTAGTAAAGCTTGCTTATCTTCAACTGGGTCTGCGTTTGCTCCCAATAGAATGAAGCCCACCACGTAGAACAGAACGATAGCCTTATTAGCTACTTCCATTGGAGAGGAATTTTTTTGGAGAAGCCGAAAAAACGAGCTGTTTTCTGCAGCTTCTTCTTTCCCGCAGTTCCCCTGCAACAAGAATGGATTTTAGGCCGAGGTGGAAACAACTACAAATACAGTACAAAAAGGGAGGAGAAAAAGGGAAAGATCCCAAATTTGAACACAGAATGAGAAGTAAAGAAGCAAAGGAAAGGGAGATTCCAAGATAAATGTCGACAAAAGCAGAGGCTAAAAACACTCTCTATCACTCTGGGGCTGGGCTGGTGTTTCGAAAACAGCAAAGGATGAAGCTTTTCTGGTTGCAGGATTTGAATAATAAATGGGTCAAAAGAGAAAAGATGAGAATTTTGTAATTCAAAAAATCTCTCTGTGTATCCTTATTCTATAACCACACCAGGAATCGAGGTTTCTCTCTTTTTGTTCCTTCTTCCTTCCATGGCCTGCTGCTTTTCTTTACTTCTCCACTTTCATGCCTAAACTAGTGCTCAAAAGAAGAGATTATCTGATTACTTACTAACTCTCTTCTTCAGATCTGAAAGCGAACAGGTAAAAACAAACACAAAATCCAGCTCAAAATTGGAGTTGAACCGACGCAAACTAATTAACAAGGGTCAAGGGATTAAGCTGATAAACTGTACAAAAAAACAGCGCTCAAAGTTGTCAGGAATCGTTTTGGATTTTGAAAGGAGAATAAAAGAACAGAGAGAGAGAGAGAAAGGCAAATTTGTCACACGCCATTAAAATACTCAGAAAAGCTACCTGGAAGTGAAGAGTCCGTTAAAAAGGAAAGGGGGAAAAAAACAAAATGCTCAAACCCAAAGTGGAAGTTGCATGATTGCTCATGCCACATTCACATTTCACCCACCAACACTTCTGCTCATTGCATTGCAGAACCCGAATTGGAAAATAATGAAGGAAACAGAGAGATGGCGAGAGAAAGAGAAGGAACGTGGGGAAAAGAAATAGTCGGTGAGACATACAAAGAGTGATGATTAGCTGGTTAGTGGGAACTGGGAAGTGGGGGAAACTGTTCTCCCTGATTAGCTCCAGCTGCGAAAAGGGGAAACAATGAATTTTTCCCGAGAAAGTGAAGGGAAATTTTATCTACTTTTCTGGCTATGGAGTAGTTTGTAATAACGAATAGCCAGAGCCCAGAGATGGGGTTGTTGCAGCCAGTTCAAGCAGGCAATAATGGCGGTTCAGTTAAACCTCTGTAACTGAAAGTCTGAAAGAAGCGAGCTCTAACGGATGAGAGCTTTGGAAGAAGGAGAAACAGAGTCTGAGCAACAGTGCGGTGATTCATTATTAGGTGACCGCCGGGTAATTTGAGCAGAGCGGAGACACGCTGCGTGTTCGGAGTCTGGGCCGGATCCCGGCTGGCCCAATGGGCTTGGAGAAAGTGACATTTGGGGCCCAAAAAATTATGACTTTGTTGTTAATCTCTGCAATCAGGATCATATCCATATTGTATTTGTATATACACTTACAATTAGGCCAAAAGAACACAACAACAATCATAATCTTCACTTCTCCCTCTATCTTCTACAGTAGCAGACCCCTAAAATTGGTCATAATGCCACACCATTATACAAAGAATGGTCAAAGTCTTTGTAAAATATTAGGGTCTGTTTATCTGTTTGGCCATCTCTGTCCATATCTGCATTCTTTACTTGTTTGAATCAGATAAAGAAGGTTACTTTATATGAGTTTCTGATGGTGGCCACCATAGCCAATCAACTTGAAGGAATGAGGGAGAGCTCTAAACGGCCAGTCCATTCCTCACCGGGCTTCAACGTGATTGGCTTCTCGATCGCAGCTCCATCAACACACAGCATCTGCTTGTACTCTTCGTCTCCGAGATCTGCCATTGCCTTTGCTTTCTTCTCCCATGGGTTCCACACCACTGCAGATTTTGACAGAATGATGAGTTGTTTGTATTCTTACAGTTCCCACTAGAAGATGCATGATTTCTTGGAATGCAAGTATCCTGCCATGTCTAACAAACCAGCTTTCAACTGTAGCAGGAAGGAGTTGGGAATTTTACAGGGAAGAAGGATGGTTGAAAATACTTGAAATTCTTTGCAACTTCAGGAAGCAAAAAGGAAAGGAAGAAGTGGGTGGGGGAAATAGACTGTTTTACCAACATCAGGGAGCCCTTTCTTTCTGATTTGAAATGTTCTCTTGCTCTGGTGATCAAACACAGAAATAACATCTGATGAACTCAGATAAACCCGGTCCACCTAGAGAGCATAATTGAAAGAAGGGAATTCAGAAGTCAGTTCCCAGTATCACGAATCCACAAGTCCACATATTCTACCAAAACAAATAAGGAAAGAAAGATTATAGATTGGAAGTAGTGAAGGACCAACGAGTATTACCTCGGATTCAAAAGTCAAGGTGTCTCCTTGTTCTGTGAATCGTTCCCTTTGAAGAAGGTTGTCGAGGTAATCAAGAGTTTCCAATCCTTCCACCCTCACTTCACTGTCACCAGAAGGCAAAATGGTTCTCAGTTCATTTTGGAAACCATTGGATTGGAGGAGATGATATGCTGCAGCAATCTGCAAACTTACTTGATGTCTGAAATGGAGAGATAGGTATGGTATGCAATAGAGAAACTGAAAGGCTTGCAGTTGATGTTCCTGATGCGCGAAACCATGGCTAGGTTCCCTTCTGCTGTTATTGCTACCCTTAGGCGGAACTCGAAGCTGAAAGTTCCACAACATACAAATCATCAAAGCCATATCCTGTTGAAGGGTTGTTCATATTTGTCAAGGAAAGCTTCAATCTTTCTTATTGGTTCTTGTTACCTGTGTGGCCACATCTTGAGATCATCTTCAGATGGTTTCAGGAGCAAATCAACGAAGGATTTTCCATAGGAATCATTGGGATGTAATGGCGGTGGGTTGTCATCAACTACCCACAGTTTCTTCCTAGCAAATCCATGTTGCTCCAAGGCTCCTCGATTGCCAAACTGCAGAACACATTGGAATTTCAGGCTCCAATTCATGTTACTGATAGATTGGTAATAAGTAATAACTTCTTTTCAGAAATGTTAATGCAATGAAAGTGAAGAACCTGAGGGAAGCATATTGGGATTCCTCCTCTAACTGGATTGGGTGGCTTGAATATTGCCTGCAACCAAACATCAACTTTAAGCAACAGACAATTCCAAAAGATGGCTTTCAAAAGAAAATAACCCCCAATCTGATTGTGATTCATCATATCACCTTGCTGCTAGTGAAGAGCAGTTCTTCACCTTGGTCAGTTCTCCAGGAAAGAACCTGTCCTCCATACAAGCTCACCTGTGAATAGAGGTTTTCCACCCCACCAAAGAATATTAGCAAACACCATAACTGTTATAGAAGAGAAAAACAAGGGATGGTAATGAGTAATGACCAACCCTTGTTGAGGCTCCTCGAGGGTTGCGAAGTAGAATCTCCTCAATCCCATTTCTATCCCTGGTAACTTCAACTACTGGAGAATAATCCATGGAGCAGAGAAGAACCAAGATGTAAAACAAAGGAGAAGACCAAAAACAAACTTCCCCCTTCTTTTTTCTATGTTCCTAGACTTCCATTGATCGCTGTTATATAATACCCAGAAGACCCGATTGCTTCAACCAGATAAATCTATGCTAAAGGTTGGATCTTTTCCTTCCACAAGTTTCCCCACCTTTCCTGCTTTTACTTCTCCGCAGCACTTCTCTTGTGAGAAAGAGAAACAAAAAAGGCGGAGCAAAGAAAGAACGAACTTGTGCGACTTCCCGTGACGAGCAAACCTGCAAAATCTCCGAGTAATCACCGATCTCTCAACTACCCTTTACTTAAAGGTCTCTACTTCACATCTAATTTTCTCTCTATACTTAGTTCCCTGCAGTCTGCACTCTGTATATCTACGAACCGAACGACTCGACTCAGGTGGGAAACAGAGACCAAATCCACTCACAATCTGGAACCCAGATGACCAACAGAAAGAAACGGCTTCTAACTTCCCGGCCATTGACGGCAGCCCTGAATCGAACCATTTATGGAGAGACGGGGGAGCAGAGAAGTTTGAAAAGGGGACGAAAAGAACGAAAAGGGGCGGAATCGGTGGGTCGAGTCAAAATTGGATCACAAGCACGCATGTGTCGTATAAACAAACTTTGCTTTTTGATTTCCCTCACTGTTCTGAAGAAGTCAGGGATGGAAATGGAAGCCATTTGTGATTTATCCACAACTTGGTACGAGCTTTGAATTGAATAATAAGATCAAACAGAGGGTGGGGACTGGGGAAATAGGAAATGGGATTGAAGAAAGGTCAGTTACATTGAAAGGTGGTATCTCAGATTCCACACACTTCCCCCCACAAAAATTAAGAATGGATAATTTGTGAAGTTTCATGGCGATAGAGACGGTTCTTAATTGGCAAGGTTTAGTTTTAGTTGACTGCTAGATTTGTTCCCCTTTCTGTTAGCGAACCTCTGCCAAACCCATTCAAGCTTTTAGTTTGTACATGTTGGAAATACAATTTCTTGTACTGAACCATTATTTTTAAATTGGGGATCGTCATGGGGATTCGAAACCAAGACCTTTCGATTCTAGGCTCTGATACCATGTTAGCGAACTAATCACTTGATCCCAATAATTCGAGTTGTTGGGAAATGGATAGTTAAACCTTTTAACCTCTTATACTTTTTTTAATGATTATTTGAGATTGGATACACGTAAACGAGTGGCATTGTCAGTAGCTCGAGATCTTTCAGACGCAAAAGGTAGTTTAACGATAAGCGTTTGGAGAAAGAAATGGACTCCAATAAATGCACTGGAAGAGAAAAATTGCGATTGAAATGATCGAGTTTAGAAAGAGATTTAGTTTCGTAACTATTTTCAGTTATTTTCGTAACTATTTGGTTGTGATGAGATTAGGTTCGTAACTATTTACCACTCGAATGTACCCAGCAAGTATTGGTACGAGATTAGGGTACTCCCCCAATCGTACTCATTACAATTGGTGAATGGAGAGGAACGGGGGAGTGTGGACCGGACGTGGAAGCCCAGGCCCATTGTGGAAGGGTTAAGAGTCTGGGCCTCGAGCATGAATAGCCACCGAGTGCCTTCATTTACGATCCAGCCCAAACTGATAGACCGGCCCGCTTTTCCTAATGAGCAAGTGACAACGATGAACGATGAATATACCCAATTAAATATAAAAAAATGAAATAACCCAAAACTGTGAGAAAAGAGAGAACTGATTGCTAGTCAGATCACGCACGGGTTCTATAAACTCTCCATCCACACACACAGTCTTCTTCTCCTCTCTCATCGCTTCCGATCGCGAAGGTCCCCCCAATCCATCGGCGCTTTCTCTCCGATCCCTTCTGTCGATCACTATCTCCGGCGAGAGAAGCAACCATGAACGACGCCGATGTCCCTAAGCAGATCCAGCAGATGTGCCGATTCATTCGGCAAGAAGCCGAGGAGAAGGCCAACGAGATCTCCGTCTCTGCTGAAGAGGTACCGCCCTTCAATTCTCTGCTTCTCTTTTGTTTTCCAGCAATTCACTTTGATTCCCGCGGTTTTGGAATCTGGTCCGACGATCGGGTTCCGGGGGATTTGGGATTTGATTGATCTGTGCTCTGGTAATGCTCAATTTTGTAATGCTCAATTTTGTTGCTTTTGTTGCAGGAATTCAACATCGAGAAGCTGCAGCTGTTAGAAGCGGAGAAGAAGAAGATCAGGCAGGAGTATGAGCGTAAGGAGAAGCAAGTCGACGTTCGTAAGAAGATGTGAGTTTCTCTGCCTGATTCCAACTCTTATAACACTGGGTGAAATGTTTGAACTGCTGCGTTGAATGTGAATCTGGTGAAGAATGGAATAAATGGATTCCATGGTTCTTTTCTCTGTTAAGAATTGGTTCCTAATTGCCTTCCACTTGGTCTGCTTGTGATCCCTTTGCTTACTGAAGTTTGAGGATGGGTTAGCTGTGTTAAATGGGCTTATCATTTTCTTTTGGCAGTGAGTACTCGATGCAGCTTAATGCCTCTCGGATCAAAGTTCTTCAGGCCCAAGATGATGTGGTCAATTCCATGAAAGAGTCAGCAGCTAAGGATCTTCTGAACGTGTGCCGGGATGATTATAAGTACAAGAAGCTTCTGCAGGATCTCATAGTTCAGGTGAGCAATACTTTGTGCGGTCATACCAGGTTAGGTGAGATGACCATAATGAATTATTGAGACTGAAAGGTTAAGTTTTTATAACGAATAAATCACCTGTTTGAAGTGTCAACATCTTGTGAATGTTTATTGAATGTGATCATAAACCTATCTTGTTGCTGATGTATTACCATATATGGGGTTGCTTTCCTTGGTGCTTCTGGAGAAAATTTCACCCACATATAGCCTATAGGGTCACATAAGCGTTTACTTTTTCTCCTGTTCTGATTTTGTTATGTAACTTTTTGGCTGGTTCCAGAGCTTGCTTAGACTGAAGGAACCTGCTGTCTTGCTGCGTTGCCGGGAGGCGGACGTCAATCTGGTAGAATCTGTCTTGGATTCCGCTAAAGAGGAATATGCTGAAAAGGCGCAGGTTCATGCACCAGAAATTTTGTTGGACCAGCAAATCTATCTGCCACCTGCTCCTAGCCACCACAATGTTCATGCTCTTTCTTGGTAAGTTTATGGCTAACATTAAATCTAGTAGTATGGTAGTGGTTTTATTTAGTGGTGTGTACATATTTTTAACTGTTTGGGGATCAATCAATCCTTTATCCTGATAACTTTCTGTGGCTGGACTTTAGAGCTCATAGTCTTTCTTTACGATGTGAAATAATAAACTGTATTTGTTTTCTGGCTTAGCTCTGGAGGTGTGGTCCTGGCGTCTCGAGATGGGAAGATTGTGTTTGAGAATACCCTTGATGCACGTTTGGACGTTGTGTTCCGTCAGAAGCTCCCCGTGGTATGAACACCATTATTCTCTCTATTGTTATACCCTCCATTGTTCCAAAAGAAAGTTGGCACTTTTATGTTTGGTAGAAGAAACTAATCAGGATTAGTTGAGTTCTTTTTTTCCTTTTTGATTTGGGATTGGTAGAGTTTTAGAAGCTTACTCTTAGTAAATATTTTCAGCAATGAAATATTAACTAATAGGATGGTAGTATTAAACAATAATAAAAAAATCAATTAGCAGGCTTTGGGCAGTAACTATTATAGGTATCTGCTGGTGAGGTGACTTTGGGATTTGAATACGTTGTGAGGATTAGGATGAATCGTTGTTCTAAAAAGTTAGATTGAAAAGTGTATCTGTTTCATTCGCCAAATCAACCTTTTCCGATTGATCTTTTTCGTAGGCCCGAAACAAAACAGTTTCATGCTTTTGTTTTGGGTAGATAAGAAATTTGATCATGAAAGACCTCCATGCTCTAACTTCCTCTCCATAAAGCGTTTTCGGCTAATAATACCCTGCCTCTGCCATTCCTGCACTAGTGCATTATATAATTCCAGCCTCCTAGCTCTTAGGATTCTTGAAAATTGAACCGTATAGTGATACGTTCCTGCTCGCTTCCACTTCTGAAATAGATTCAGATGAGTGTTGAGAACTGTTATGTGGGGATTAATCTGGATTAGACCTTTTAATCTCGAACTGAAATCTTGCTTGTTCTTGTTGTGTGTTGCAGATCCGCAAGCTACTCTTCAGCCAGGTTGTTGCTTGATGCCCTTGACTGTAATTGTTTTCACCTATTATGAATCGTCACTCTTATGTCCAGAAACTCGAGGGTTTGATAGACCATTTCACCGATTGTTTGGGGTTTTGTATTTTTTCGTGTTCTCCAAAGAACTTGCTATTAGTAGAGAACTCTGTTGTTTCTATTAGTGTATGCATTAATAAACCGAACGTAAAAGAATGTTTGCGTGGAAGTCAAGTTGTGACTTTTGTGATTGATCCTATTGTATTTACTACATCTCTGCAAGGGTTGATAGAACTTCTCATAACCATGAGTGCAGATTTAGAGGCTCCACGCGCGGCTACAATAGAAGGTGAGGAACTTACATGGCTACCGAATCATTCGATCTCCTCCTATTTCGCCCACAGGCGGAAACTACTACTAATGATGATACATATAGATGAGAGTTATGTCTTTCAGATGATTTGAATGAAGAGTTCAGTATACAAGATGACTCTGAATCAGAAATCGCTGACCAAGCTGATAATCAATTGCCAAACCAAATGCCTTTACGTCTTATTAGGGCATGGAATAAGCAGCAGATGATGAAACCACATCCTTGTTTTACACAGGCGTCTTGCAAGTGCTGGGACGATAACACACCACAAGAGAATAGAGCGCGAGTTTCGTTACAGACATTTTCGATCTGCAACTAATTAAACTCATCACCAACTGAAGAGAGTAGATACTAAATACACAAGAACAATCCCACAACCTCTTTGCACCCACCAAAACCCCACTACTGAGAAAGTACCGAGCAGAGAAATGAATGATGAAGTTGATATGTGAGAAAGGCCAATATTAATATTGTTGACTCCACCAAGTACAAGGATGGATGAATGAAATAATCTTTCACCCTCCAAACTTAAGGCTACTTGACAGACTGATCTACCCACTGTACTCCATATACCGTTGATCGTAGCAGTTGAAACACGTATCGAAAACTAAGCTTTTACATTTTTGTTGTGGTGCAGAAGGTGACCAGCAAGACGCCTGTTCAGATGATCATAGCAGTAAAGACTCTTGAATGATCAGGTTCTAAAAATCCCATCTGGTGGGGGAGATGACGATGAGAGTTCACCATTTGATATTTCATCATTGAGAGAGAAAGGTGTAATTTTTAAAGCATCATATGGTCGATTTCAAGATCATTATATGCTGTATAGTCCACATCTTCACATTTTAAACATTTTCTTTTAGTCTACATCTTAGGGGAATCGAACTTCCTCAACGTGTAAACGGATGGGGGAATAGAGATTTAATGAATTGTGGAAGAAGTAAGAAGTTACAAGCTACAGAGTAGATACCAGAAACCAAAGAAGCAAAGGTCCAAGGTGTCTTCTTGTATTATTCTCTGCATGCTTTGCTTTCTTTGCTCTTTGATTTGATTCTGCAATAGATATCTTTCTCTGTACAACTTTCTGACCACTCGAGTGCATTTGATTTGTGTTGTTATTTTAATCAAACACAACCTTTCTTCAAGAACAAGCATCATCTCTCACTAGCTTAGAAAATTCAGCATGGAGATCACCATATGAACAGTTCTCTTTGACTGTCTTTTTCCTCTTTCTCTTCTTGCTCAAAAACTGTCGTCATCTCTCTGATTAACGATTTGAAAAAAGAGAAGTTTCCAAGTTTTTCATC